GGACGCTGCCTGCTTTGGCGCTTCACGGGCTTGGCAGGGGCGGAGGCGGGCTGCGCCGGTTTCCTGCGGCCAGCTCCACGCTGTGGCTGTTGTGGCCACGCTGGAGCGGAGGTGGAGGCCACAGGAGGGCGCGCTCGGTGACGAGCAGACAGAGGGGCTGCAGCCGGCGGTGGGGTGGCTACAGCAGCCGACCACCGGGGCAGGATGTGTTGAGACTTCGCCGAATAGGCCGGCCTGGGAGATCGGGGAGTCCAGGAAGCGATGCTTGTCGGTCTCCCTCATATCCGCCAAGGTCAGCCATAGGTGGCGCTCCTGGACCACCAATGTGGACATCGTCTGACCCAGGGCCCGCGCCGTGACTTTCGTCACCCTAAGCGCGAGGTCCGTCACCGTGCGCAGTTCCTGCAGCACACCGGGGTCAGCACCACCCTCGTGCAACTGCTTCAATGCCTTGGCCTGATGGACTTGCAGGAGGGCCATGGCGTGCAGGGCGGAAGCTCGACTGGGGGATGTCCACATACCCTTGGGCCGCCCCACCGTCGAGGGTGGTGAGGACGGAGGAGGCAGAAAAATCAGTTTCGGGCAGAAAAAGGTGCCTTCCAAGACTTAGTAACCTCCTCATGCACTTCTGGGAAGAATGGAACCGGAGGCGGCTGCCGACGACCGGCCTGCGCCCCCAGGAACCAATCATCCAGCCTCGAGTGTTCGGGAGAAGGAGGAGGCCTCCAGTGCAGCCCGACACTCTCGGCAGCCCGGGAAAGCATACCAGTCAGCTCTGGATCTGACTCGGGCAATGCCACTTTTCCTGAAGGAGGCAGCGCAGCCAAATCTTCATCTCCAGAGCCTAGCTCGCCCTCCGATGCAGCAAACCTCCAGTGTTCGGGAGAAGGAGGAGGCCTCCAGTGCAGCCCGACACTCTCGGCGGCCCGGGAAAGCATACCAGTCAGCTCTGGATCTGACTCGGGCAATGCCACTTTTCGACGGGGAAGCTCTCACCGTGATCCTCAGGTCTCCCTGACCATGAACCGAAGTAGCCCTCCGAGAACCGGAGGAACTAGAGCAGGGCATGGCAAGGTCTTGTAGAAGGCCCTCAGCCGAAGCAAAAAGCTGATGTACCCGCGCTGCGGGGCGGGGTGTGCTTGGCGAAACATGCACGCCAACTGTCATTGGCTTGTTTAGCTCACAATCGAAGGTGATTGGGCTCTCGGGCGAGATCCCAATTCGTCAGTCACGACTGACGTAACGTCGAACGTGACTGACTGAAAGGGAATGATGGTTTCTACAAAAATATTAAGCAGCACAAGTGTTTTCAACATAGTAATAATAAACGTTAATTGAGCATAAAATCAACATTACTGAAGAATCATGTGGCACTGAAGACTGACATATTAAAATATTTAAATTAATAATAATAATTCTCTATGTTTCATTAAATAATGCACTCTTGGTGAGCATAGGAGACTTCAAAAACATTGAAAAAACATACAGACCCCAAACATTGAACAGTACTTTTGAATAACATGAAGGTGAGTAGTTCTAGTTTATTTCTAGCTGTAGATTTGTAGTTGAGTTTCTGGCCAGTGCTCATGGGTTGTTCTGGCTGTGGGCAGCAGGGAGCAGTTGGATGCCTAGCAGGGGGGCGACAGAGAGGCCTGTTGGAGTCAGAGTGGACCGCCTGTCCTGAACAAGACACATGGACAAAGATCTAAGGCTGGTTTAGCATAGGACCTCAGCCTGAGCCAATCCTAGGGCTCATCAAAGCTTCCTGGTCAACTGTCGTCTGCTTTCATCCCCTTCCCATCTGCCCCCATCCGCAAACACGCATACACACGTTTCCCCTTTTAGCCTACCTTTGACTCCAATGTTATTGCATTATTTGCAATAAAATTGCCCTCCATGTCACAGCAAACTGGTGCTTTGCTGAGCACTTTATCATCACCATGACGTCTTGTGTTATGTCTGATGGTGATAATCTTTTGAATTATAAAGGTTCGATGCAGTCCTAGGTGCTTAGAACTGTTATTCAGTATCCTACTGAGCACAGTGATTTAACAACAACAAAAATCAATTCTCTCTGCTGACCATTCGATTAGAGTTGTCTTTATGATGCATTCAGTCTTCACTGCAAGTACACAAAGAAGTAGTCTAATGCCTAATACTTTCTAAATGACCAGAGTTGTGCTAAATGAGCCTCCTTTAAAGCCATTATTGTACAAATTGAACTGGTTGTTAGAAAAACTACAGCATGAGAACAAAATGAATAACATGAGCTTCTGGAAAATGTGAATGAAACAAATAGCCTACTCCCCAGAGTTAGCCATTAAATAAGCTTAACCAGGCTTTTTTTAGTCATTCAGCTCATTAAAGAAGATTTTTATGAGATTTATTAAAGTCCAGTAAAGCTGTGGGCATATTGACAATTTTCAGAACGTTTAGTCTAGAAGATACTGTAAGAAAAAGATTTTTCTTCAGTTGGTTAAAAAGTTGCTGTCAAGTGCTGTGTTATCTTTCTTTTCTTTCTTTCTTCTTGTAGACACTTTCTTTTCAAGACGCCGTCTGGGAGCACTCCTCTGTTCAGCAGCTCTTCACCAGGTTATCCCTTGACTGGTGGTACCGTCTACTCCCCACCACCCCGGCTCTTACCCAGAAACACATTCTCCAGGAGCTCCTTCAAGCTGAAGAAGCCCTCCAAGTACTGCAGCTGGAAATGCACTGCTGTGTCTGCGATCGCAGCCGCTGTGCTGCTGGCCATCCTGCTGTCTTATGTCATAGGTATGTCTTTCAAATCATTGTTTGTCATGGATGATTTTGTCCCCAAATAAAATGCAACTGGGATCTGCTACAGTGGAAGCATCCCCAGTTGTTCACGAGGTGTTTTTATTTCATTAGTTGATATTAAAATTACTGCTGTCAAACGATTAATCGCATCTAAAATAAAAGTTTTTGTTTACATGATATATGTGTGTGTGTGTGTGTGCTGTGTATATTTATTATGTATATATAAATACACACACATGCATGTATATGTTTAAGAAAAATGTTACATTTATATATGAAATATATTTATATATGATTTAAATTATATGAATATAAATATATACATGTAAATACATGTAAATATTTTCTGAATATATGCTGTATGTGTTAGGGCTGCACGATTATGACAAAAATCATAATTGTCGATCATTCCCTTGAAATTGTAATTGCGATTATTAATTACGATTATCAAAATTGACATTGAATGATGTTTATACCATTGTTTGATGCAACTGCATGCCGTATTTTTATATGAAAATAAACAAACTGAAAACACTAACTGAAAAACTTTTAGTGCTTTTCTATAGTATTAAGCCTGAAATGATTGGTTTCGTCTTTAAATTATAAAAAAATTAAAATATGAATGGTATTATAATGTTATACTAAAATTAAAATAATGGGAAAACCCTTCAGATAACATGTATAAAGAAAAAAAAAGCATCTTAAGCATGCAAATTTAACATAAGTGGGCATTAATTGCCGCTTTGAACGATTACGTAATTGTGGCATCCATAATTGTAATCGCGATTAGAAATGTGATTAATTGTGCAGCCCTAGTATGTGTGTGTTTTTATATATACATAATAAATATACACAATACACACACATATATTATGTAAACAAAAACTTTTATTTTGGATGCGATTAATCACGATTAATCATTTGACAGCACTTATTAAAATGAATTGCAATTTGGCATTGAATTTGTTTTGCTGAGTGATTGGTTCAGTTGTGATCAGTGGCAGAAAAAAATTCAGCTTTGAGACAAGTCTTTAATATTTTGTGATATACCTTAAATGTGTGTCCATAATCTTTACATTGTGATGTCCTTGAAGATTCATGCTTGAGGCCAAAAAAAAAGAAACTTTCTTAGCATAAAAGTAACTTTTTAAGCAATTTATCATGATGCAAACTGTGATATTTAATTCACATTTTACAATTCAATCATGCGTAATTAGGTCCTGAACTGAATTCATGGATCCTTGATGGATCATTTATTGCTGTCTAAACAATAAGTCAGCAACCACGGAATGATAAATCAATTAATTTAATTAGACACTCCTTAAATGTCATGAGCACGAGTTAGCGTAGTTAGCAGAGGGTTTGCCGGGCAGTGCTCAGTGTCCTCTAGCACACCATGGCCTTTCAAAGCTCAAAGAAAGACCCTGAGATGACTCACTCAGAAGAATGACATTTATCACGAAGAACAAAGCACTTCAACGCGTCTTTGATAAACCATTGATGTGTGTTATTGCTGTGGGACAATTGCAGCAAAGCAAATACCCACGCAGAGGGGCAGACGGAGCCTCAGCGTGTGGACGTTTACTTCAGACGGCAACATGTGATTCACCTGCCGTTTGATATGAGCTGTGATTCAGATGTATTTGGGAAGGAGGGTTTGGTCTTATCAAGGCACCTCTCTGCAGGGAGTGTTGCTTAGTTTCAAATCTAAAGTTCCTCTCTTTTTATAAAAAAGATTTAGGTTAAGTTCTTAGTAACTGAGAAGCGAAAAGTTGTAAAGTTGTTCTGATACATCTTCAAGTGAATTTGTTAAAAAAAGACAAAAAAACCCATGTTTTAGTGCATTTTCGTGGGTGAGTGTTGCACTTGAATGGTAAGGAAAGGCAAAAGAGACTGCGTGTAGAGTCCGATAAGAGTTGGATCCCTTCCAGAAACACATTCGATGGTAAATGTCACCAAGCACCTTGAGTCTGCGCCAGTTTGCGAGTAAGTTGCACCTTTACAAAGCAGTGAAGAAAACAACGTTCTGTCTGGCAGCGGACGGGCCTGACGGGCCACTCGGGCCACTGATGAAAGGCCCACCCAGTTTATTATACAAATATAATATTTGTTAAATAATTATTGTTTAATCTATTTTAAAACAATTAGAGAACTATTATAACATCTCAAATAATTAAAATAAATAAAATGTGTTTTTGCATAATTCTTATGCAGACTGCAATTTGCAGCTGTTTTAAAAAATGTTAGAAAAACAGAAGCAATGCATAATTCTGTAAATAAAAGACTTTAAAAAAACTCGCACTGACGAGGGAGAAAGCCCGTCCATCAGCCCACAAGTAACGGTAAGATTTTCAGTTCCAAGCGCGAACCGGTTCATTCTGTGAAGCCGGGAACACACTACTGTCAGGTCGATTATGAATGTAATTTGAGCTCAGCCAGTGTTTTCAGTCGGTGTTCAAAGTCGTTTGGTATGCGGTGTCTAAAGAATTTAAGACCAGCTGTTGTCAGTTGTCCTCACAAAAATTTAACTGCACCTGTTTCCTAATTTGTTGGCCTATAATTTAAATAACGAATTAACAAAAAAGAAAAAGAATCACAAACATGACATTTCTGAATAAAATAATTTCATACACTTAGTTATATCTAATTGACATTTTCAATTAACATAGGCCTGTTACATTCTTCTTATTAGCCTATTAGGCCTATTATTATTATTAAGTTACTTTTATTAAATTAATATTACAACTAATTTGCCCCGCAATAATTTCATAGCGCATCACTGCATAACTGACGCGCTGTGAGGATAATAAAGATTAGGCTAGCTTACTCTTCATTGAAAATGTTTTTTAAAAAGTCTTTCAAAACAGGTTTATTATAGCTACAATGAATTATAGACCTATAATTAAAATTATTAACACTGCAATCATCAATGAAAAAGCTTTATTTCAAGCACTGACTTTTTAAAAAAAACTGGTTAACACGAAATACGTTTTTCGCTCTTTATTTATTTATTTATTTATTTATTTATTTATTTATTTATTTATTCTTTCCACTAGCCTATGTTCGGGCCACAAGAGAAATGTTAAGGGAGTAAATTAAAACATTTAGCTATGTAGGCTACCATTACAGAATATGAAGTAGATTCGTCTCTGAGAGAATATGCGCCGTTAATGAGGCGTCAGATGTCAAAAGCGCCATCAGTTTTTACTTTCACTTTCTAGTGAACCGACTGAGATTAAGAGGTTCACCTCATAACTCTTGAGCAAAGTTTGCACGTTGCTTGTGTGATATCCATTGGCTCGCCTTCCTGGTTAAAAACAATTATTTACAATATTGCGACATATAACCAACCCACCCACCCTTGAGTTCGTGGTTGGGGGCTGCGGATTTGCGCTACGCTACTGGACTCCGTCCGTTAGTTAGCCTAGTGCCCGCTTACTTTTGCCCAGGCCCGCCCAAAAATAAAATTCTGGCTACGCCACTGATCCTCACATTTACAATTTCAATATCTCATTTGTTTTTCTTTGTTTATTTTGCAGGGGTACTTGGCTTCTGGCTTATTTTTAGTTTTTGTACACATTTCCAAGTCAGTTTTTGCCTCAGTACTGTCAGACATTTATAAATATACACACATACACACTCTGAATATACTGTATGTTCAAGGTACTTTTGATGTGAGTGTGTTTTTAAATGAGAGTGTATTTGTGTGTCTGTGTCTTGTGCGCAGTGGCCTGTAAAGTGTTCTGTAAACTATTCCAAAACCTCAGGGACTTTTTGCCGGTACAGTGCGACTCTTAATGCATATGTGTGGCTGGTCCACTGAGCTGTAACCACCCACCGAGCAACACTGTTCATTGCCTGAATCACACAGGTTCTTGAAAAGTTTCCACCAGACTTCACACAACACTGTGTATTTGAATGCACACTTGGACTGAAAATTGCAGTTCTCCTGGTCCATACCGTACACCACATAGTAGTGTGCTTTGTTTTGTTTTCTTTGGATATAATAAGTAATGTTGCCTCTTTCAAAGGAAATAATAGTGTATAATAGTCTATATAATATACTTATTTGTATTTATAGTAGTAGTCTGGCATTATATTTTAATATTATTTTCCAGTAATTCCTCATGCATTTCTTTATTATATGATAAATACAGTTTGGGTTTTGTAAGTGTTTCTCTCTCTCTCTCTCTCTCTCTCTCTCTCTCAGCAGCCATTACTACAGTCTTCCATGTTAAATTATCCTTTAGAAATTATTCTAATATGCTGATTTGGTGCTCAAGAACCATTTCTTAAAATTATCCATGTTGAAACAGTTGTGCTGCTTAATATTTTTGTAGAAAACGTGATAGATTTTGCAGTTATTGATGAATAGAGAGTTCAAAAGAACAGAATTTATTTGAAACAGAAATCTTTTATAACATTACAACTGCTTTTGAACAGTTGTGTTTTTACACTTTTACCTTGAAAAATATTTTGAAAATATTTTGACTTTTATTTATTTATTATTTATTTTATGTTTTAATTGGTGGTTTTTAGATTTCATTTTTGGTCACTATATTTTAAGGTCCAATTCTCACTAATAACAAACCATTAACTACAACTTTTGCCTCAATAAACTACTAATTTGCTGCTTATTAATGGTTAGTAATGTAGTTGTTGTCAGACTTTTGGACCCGTTTTGCCTCCAAAGTTCTTCCTGTGTTTCCTTTTATGGTCTTTTTCCTGTTCTTTTTTAGTTTTATTACTTTAAGATTCCATGCACCTGTGTTTCCTCTCTCTCTCTCTCGCTCTCTCTCAGCAGCCATTACTACAGTCTTCCATGTTAAATGATCGTTTAGATATTTTATTTTACTAGATTGCCCTGTGTTTATAAGCCCCAGTCTGTTCAGTTTGGTTTTTGTCAGGTCTACTTGTTGGATGTTGTGTGTTTCCCGTGTTCCTGTTGTGGATTTACCCCTGTGATTCTATTAAAGACTGTTGAAAGTTTCTCC